TGTCTACTGCAGCCAAAGGCCCAGTGAGTTAGATTTTTAAGGATTTATTTTTTTGAGTCACGTGCCTTGAGTCTTTAGCTATTCACTTCCCTGGAAGAAGCCATAGTCTCTTTAAATACTGTATCTATAGAGAAAAATTTTTTTTAGGAGAGAGAGATTTTTGCTATAGGGCACATGTGCTCACTAGAGAGACAGAAAGTGAGAAATCACTCCCCCCCCCGGGGGGGGATGGCCATGGCGCAAACCCTTCTCCTCCATTCTCCTCTTAGGGTTTTGGGCACACATGCACACGTGCCCAGCATGAGTTTAAGCTTCTGGGTCCAGGACTTGAGCCATGGTTGACTATATGGGAGTCCAGAGACCATTATGCCATCTGGTGGTCCTACAAATTGTTTCTTTATTTTTAAATTTACTTTTTAATCTAATCAATATAGTAATGAATGAAAGATTGGGAGTCACAAAGCTGGGATTTAGGTATCTAGTCTACTACTCACAAGCAAACAACTTCATTAGTTTTTTCTGTGAAATGGGGATCACAGTTATTAGCTTTACAAAAAATATTTTGAGAAGCAGAAGAGAAAATAATGAGAACACAGTTCCTAGAAAGACATAGAGAAATGCTGTTTTTGGTAAGACTGACAACTTTGGAATAATTTATAAAAGCTTATAACTGAGATAACCTTCAGAATTAATGTCTGAGTCAAACTTTGCTTGGATTGTGTTTTGCAGAGACTCTTAATGAGTGTAGTAACATTTGATCCTATTTGTCTTTATATTTTTCTTTTTTATAATTATTTAATTAAAAAATTATTATTATTTAAATTTTGCCATAGGGCACGTGTGCTCACCAGATAGACAGAGAAAGAGAGAAAGTGAGAAAGCAAGCCTCCAGGACTTGAACCACAGTCAGACATGTGGGAGTCCAGTGCCTGAAACATCATGTCACCTGTTGGCTTCTGTTTTTATATTTTTCTGATGGGACCAGTGTCTCCTAGGATGACAGTTCTGTCAGGCTGGCAGCAGTATCAATATATGAATTAGCCTTTCTGTGTATATAACAGTAATAGAATTTAACATTCGGGGTAGACTAGAAATGGAGCTGAAAAGTACCCTTTGCCCTTTCAGCTTAAGGCTGAGGTGGAAAGCAAAGAAAAGAAATGAAAGTTTTCCTGATACCTTTTAATCCTCTCCTTGGCTGAATCTGCACCTCATCTTTCTCTAGTCCTGACCCTCAGAGATGTAACAGCACTGAAAGGTGCAATGGGATGGCACTACTGAAGAGCATCTGTTATATAAAAACTTTGATGTTCTTTCTTCCAGGTTAAGGTAATCATTGAGAAAAGTGATGAATTTGATATTCTGATGACTTTGAATGAAATAAATGCCACAGGATACCAGCAGACCGTTCTGGTTCCCAGTGAGGATGGGGCAACTGTTCATTTTCCGGTCAAGCCAATGCATCTGGGAGAAATTCCTATCACAGTCATAGCCATCTCACCCACTGCTTCTGATGCTATCACCCAGAAGATTTTAGTAAAGGTAAATATTCGGAGTCCTAAATAAAGGCAGTAGAACTACATAACTAAAAAGGAAACAAAATGGTCCTTCTCTTGTCTACACTTGGTGAACTGAGTAGTTAATTCCCTCCATTCTCCTGGTAATGCCAAATTGTTTTCTCATCTGTATGTAAAAATATAATACATGTATGTTTTAGAAGTAACTGTCAATTTTCTCTAATTTTAATCAGTAATATGAATATAAAGACCACAGAGTCTCTTTTTTAAAAATTTATTTATATATGCTTTAATTTGACCAGAGAGGGACAGAATGAAAGAGAGAGAGGGAGAGACATCAAGCTGCCAGGTCTGGGACTCAAACCATGATCAGCGATGTGGGAGTCCAGCGCCCTTAACCACCACACCACTCGCCAGCCCCCAGAGTCTCCTTTATAGTCAGTTATATCTATATGCTCAGTTACATTGACATCCTATTAAATCACGGTCCAGTTACCATGCAGATTTGGAATTTGGGAATTCCTCAGTACAGGGAGAAGAGATTTTATAGACTTTTTCAGAGAAGACATTCTGTATAAAAAAGATAACTCAGGATAGTGGGTAAGCATTAGTGTGAGGCAAAAGAGACAGCTCTGGGTTGAGACAGAGTTCAAATCGCAGCCATGTCAAATGTGATTTTGGCCAAGATATTTAATCTCTCTCTTTGGATAATAATTGGCCTACCGCAGAGAGTTTCTTTTCCCATCACATTTTCATCTTCTCTTTTGTCATTTACATTGCCATTTCATGTTTTGTCTAATTTAACCAGAAGGTAAACACTTAGTAACAGATTTGAACTAAGAATAAAGAAATGGTAGGTACTAATCTAGCCACATACACCCTACAATGACTTCATGTCTGAATATAGTGCTCTATAAATGTGAGGGGACTCCAACAAGTTCACGGAAAAATGGAATTAAAGTATGAGTTTAAAAATTGGAAATCTGAGGGCCAGCAGATGGCATAATAGTTAGATTACTAGATTCTCATGTAGTTGACTGTGGTTCAGTCCCAGATCCAGCAGCTTAAAACTCATGCTGGGTGTATGCATGGGAATACCCAAGATCCCGAGAGGAGAATGGAGGAGAAGGGATTGTGGCATGGCCATCCCTCCATGGGGTGAGATTTCTTGCTTTTTGTCTCTCTCTCTATATCTCTGGTGAGTACACGCACCCTATAGCAAAAATCTCCCTTAAAAAATATTGGAAATCTGGGGCTGGCAGGTAGTGTGGTGCTAAAGGTGCTGAACTCCTGCAAGGCTGACAGTAGTTCGAGTCCTGGACCTGGTGGCTTTCTTTCTCATTTTTTATCTCTGTCTCTCCCTGGTCAAATTTTAAATAAATAGATAAAATTAAATAAATGTTTCTTTAAAAAATTGGAAATCCATACATACTGTTCTCATAATACACATTTCCCATGACCTTTTTGAAGAGGTGAGTAAAGACCATATTCATTGTGTTCTTTTTTTTTCAACAGGCTGAAGGAATAGAGAAGTCCTATTCACAAACTGTCTTATTAGACATGACAGACAATAAGCCACAGAGTACCCTGAAAACTCTGAGTTTCTCGTTTCCTCCTGATACAGTGAGCGGCAGTGAAAGAGTTCAGATCACTGCAATTGGTAAGGAAAAAGTATGTCACCATCTGCTGATTGTATGTGTATGCTAATAAATATTATCCATCTATTTAGAGTTGTATTTTCTTATTTAGTCCAAATGAGAAGAGATTGTAAAAGTTTTTAGTTGGTCCCACTTTCTCTCTCTGTCTCTCCAGCAAGCTCACATGTCCTATAGCAAAAATCTCTCTAAAAAAATAAATTAATAAATAAAAAAGTAGATCCCAGTCTGGGGGTAGTAGAAGATATGAAATGTCCCAGCTAGAGCAGTGGGGATCAGGCCTTCAAAGGATTGGTGATGCCCACCCAGTTTTTTGAAGACAACTACTTTACTTAGTAGTTGTCTTTACTTAGACAACTACTTTACTCTACTGATTCAAATGCTAATCTATTCTGGAAACACTCTCACTGTTAACAACCAGAAGCAATGGTTAATCTGGGCAATTCATACCCATTCAAATTGACAAATAAAATTAGCTATCACTAATGGTTTATTTACATAGTGTGCTTTACAAATAATAAAATGTGTTAGTTAATGACATGTAAATTGTTTGGTCTCTAAGGTGTCCGGATCTAAGGCACTTTTTCAGAGTTCTTTTACATCTCCCCTACAACTGTAATGCTTTTTTATTATAATCCCAAACAACTAATTCCTATGCAGAGGCTTTATTCTGAGCCTTAGGTATAATTCTTTTTTTTTTCTTTTTTTTTTGGAGAGGGTTTTGCTATAGGACGCATGTGCTTGCCAGAAAGACAGAGAGAGACAGAGACATAGAAAGTGAGAATCCCTTCTCCTCCATTCTCCTCTCGGGATCTTGGGCACGCACGCACATGTGCCTTGCATGAGTTTAAGTCACTGGGTCCAGGACTCGAACCGCGGTCGGTTACATGGAAGTTCAGTGACATAGCCATTATGGTAACTGCTGGTCCCCAGGTATAATTCTTAATAAGAATTCAATAAGTTTTCTATTTAGGGGAATACATTTTGCCTAATTATCCCACAATGTTAAGATGCTGGGAGAGGCAGTATACACATACACATGTGTGCATGTGCAACACACACATACACACACGCATGGACATGTGAAGGGAAGAAGCCTTGAATTTTAAATGTATAACACCACTCCTTATGTAGAAATGAATTTACCTATGGTCATAGAAATATTCTGAGATTTAATTTTCATGCTTGATATTAAAGAATGAATTTTCATGTTTTATTTTTCTATGTATTTTATTTTACTTTTTTAGGGAGATTTTTGCTGTAGGATGCATGTGCTTTCCAGAGAGACAGACACAGAAAGTGAAAGCTACTCATCCCCCAGGGGGATGGCCATGCTGCAAAACCTTCTCCTCCATTCTCCTCTTGGGATCTTGGGCACGCACACACATGTGCCTGACATGAGGTTTAAGCCACCGGGTCCAGAATTCAAACCATGGTCAACTACATGGGAGTCCAGTAATGTAACCATTACAAAATCTGCTGGTCCTGTTCTATATTTTTAAAAAGCTATTTTGTAGCCCAGAATGTATAAGTATTAGCTTGTGCAAATTTTAGGTTATGTTTATGTTGATTTTGAATATTTAAAAATAAACTATACTGGTAATAAAATAACCTCTATTTCTTTCTCTATGTTAACATTTAAAGTTTAAGATGTGCTTCATGGCAACAGCCTATCATATGAAAGAGATGGTCCTCTGTACTTTGTATTCATTTTAGCAGAATTAGATTTTTTTCCTAAGGTATTTGGTGTTGGCATTGTGTAAATTTTCAAGATAAGCTATATGGAAGAATACGCTTCTCTATACAGCTTAACAACAGCACAGTCAAATTAAAAATCAGCTTCCATATTTCTCAGTTTTTACTCATTTCTCTGAATCATGGCATTAGAATGTGGGTAGAAGAGTCTTTAAGCAAGCGTTTGAAGAATATTCCTAATCTTTTTTGATCCCGAGGTGTGTTGAAATACTACTTATTAGTTCTACTTTGTCGGTGATAAATAAAACACATGGAGAAACACTACAATCTCTACTGTTCTAAAAATGTCTCAAGTTTCATAATCTTCTATTAGTAAGTAATCAGAATAAAGTCCTCTTTATGTGAAGAATACTACTAATAAAACATTTCTTTTCTTTATAAGACTGATGGTTTCATAATTGTCTATTCCTGAAAGTCCTCTGTGATGAATGCTAACAATAAAATATTTCTTTCCTTTATATGATGATTTCATAATTGTCAATTCCTGACATTTGTCCAAGATTTCAAAAAATTTTCTGCCCTGACTTACATCCTGTCTTTAACCAAGTTCCATTTCTTTTATCACATACTGTAGAAGTTCAGTGCCATTGCTTTTTTTTTTTTTTTTTTGACCTGTCTTCCTAACAGCTTGATGCTTTTGTGCTCAGTGGAAATTTCTATGCCCCTCCCCTCACCAGCAGGTAATATTTATTGCATATTTACTGAATGAACTGAGTGTCTTTTGATTGCAGGAGATATTCTTGGTCCTTCCATCAATGGCTTGGCTTCATTGATTCGGATGCCTTATGGCTGTGGTGAACAGAACATGATCAATTTTGCTCCAAATATTTATGTTTTGGATTACCTGACTAAAAAGAGACAACTGACAGATAATTTAAGAGAAAAAGCTCTTTCATTTATGAGGCAAGGTAAGCACTTTATAAATTTACTTTTATTTGTAAAAATATTTTCAGGCAGGGTTCACTCTAGACCCTATTTCTAAATATTGGGCTGTCAGGAAAGTCATGATGCATTTTTCCATTAAAAAAATAGAAAAATGCATCATGACTTTCCCGACAACCTAATATATATGTCCTGGCTTTGGTGGGATGAAATAGTGTTGAAATGTGCTGTTAAGTGTGAGCAATGGAAGCTGTTATCATTCTTCCTTCCACTACCGTTCACTCGTTGCTGCTAACATGATTGCTAGTAAGTCACAAGGAGTTAGTTTCAGAAGGGGCTTGTAAATTCTTTCTATCCCACTAATTGTTTCATCACAACATCATTGTTCACTTGGACGACTCCAATGGCTTCCTGAAGTCTCTCTGCCTCTGTGTTCATCCCCTCTTCAGTAGATTCTCCAGATACTATTAAAGAGATCTTTTAAAACATTTTTTCAAAAAGTTCATTTAGTTACTGCTTTCCTGAGCAAGAGAGAGATAGATACAGAGATACAGAGACAGAAAGACAGCACCTTCGACAGAGTCTTAATGCCACGATCTAGCTTCACCCGGTCTCAGATCATGGGTACACGTATGCCCAGTATATTTTGGGATGTCGCTGAACATGAACACAGAATCTTCACCATGTGTGACAGTCCCGTAGAGCTTTTTTTTTTTTTTTTATCATTTTGCCACCTTCGACTACCATACGGGTCTTTTAAACACATCCAAATCAGGTCACTTCCTTTTTCTAAGTCTTCCACAGGTTCCTGACTTTGCTCTACAAGGTCCTAAGTGAACTGGCCGTGGCCTCCATCTTAGCCTCAATCGAAGTCACTCTCCACTGCCAGAAGGGCAGTGCCTGGAACACTCAGCCTGTAAGCCTGCTCTTCCTTCTAGAATGGTCCTTACCCAGATCTTACCATGACTGTCATCATTTCTTTCTTTCTTTTCTTTTTTCTCTTCCTTTCCTTTTTTTTTTTTTTTTTGAGAGATTTTTGCTATAGGGCACATGCATTCTCCAGAAAGACAGAGAAAAATAAGAGAGACAGAAAGCAAGAAATCACCCTCCAAGGGGGATGGCCATGCCTCAATCTCTTCTCCTCCATTCTCCTCTTGGGATCTTGGGCACGCATGCACACATGCCTGTCATGAGTTTAAGCCACTGGGTCCGGGACTCGAACTGCAGTGGATTACACGGGAGTCCAGCGACACAGCCATTACGCCAACTGCTGGTTCCTATGACTGGCATCTTTTCGCCGTGCGGGTATTTAATCTTGTCCCATTGTATTGCTATTTAGGCGCTTCAATAAATACAGAATGGGTGAATGAATTTTCAGTATTAACTTATTTGGGCTTTAGGTTCACCATCCTAATGTGGCTGCTGGTCCAGAAGACCTCTGAAGAGCTTCTGCAGTACGGTGATTATCTGTGGACAGTAAAGGTTCTACTGGCCTTGGCACATTCTTATCAGTTGGGAAATGTGACAATGGTTTCAGTATGTTGCCCCTTAGCTGTGAGGTAGCTGATTAAAGTCAGCACACTGGAGCTCCAAAAATACGTCATCTCGCATGCTGAACTAAGTTACATTTTGAAGCAGTGAACAAGAAGTGTCTTGGTATAATGCTTTCACTACAAAATCAGGCTCTCATTTCAGGGACTGTTTTTTCTTTTGCCATCACATTCACTGAAGTTCTTTAAATATACTGAAGTTGTTTTTTTTATTTTTTTAAGAGATTAAAATGGCTTTGGCATAAGTCATGATTTTATTATTTAAATGCCATTTATGAACAGCGCATTGTTTTACTTAAATCATGCTTGGCTCAGGAGTCCCGAAACTTAATCCATTGTTTTTAAGTCAAAACAACAGCTACATCATTGCATGAAGTGTCCTTTGCTTTCTAAAAGAAAAATAGAACCATAAAATTAAAACCATTTTTGATAAAGACTGGAAATCCTGAAGCTGTTAATTGAAAATTTAAACCACTTGTTTTCCTCAAATATTTAAATTGTAGTGCCTGCAGCTTAGTTTTTCAAGTGAGACTTAGACCAAGTCTGGTTGAAAACACAATGTATTTTCTCTATTAAAATAAAAACATGAGGGACCCGCAGATAGTGTAATGGCTACGTTGCTGGACTCCCATGTAGTTGTCCACGGTTCGAGTCCTGGACCTGATGGCTTAAAACTTACATCAGTACTCTGTGTGTGTGTGTGTGTGTGTGTGTGTGTGTGCATGCGTGCGTGGGTGGGCAGGCGGGTGTGGGTGTGTGTACACATGCCCAAAGTCCAGAGAGGAGAATAGAGGAGAAGGGATTGTGGCATGGCCATCCTCCCCTCCCCCCAAGGGTGGTTTTTCATTTTCTGTCTCTTTGTCTCTTCAGCCCTAAGGCAAAGGCCTCTAAATCAGAACAAAACAAAATCCAAAAAAACAAAACCAAAAAAACAGAAAAAAAAAATAGACTCCAGAGTGCTGATGCTGCTTCTTGTCATCATGAGTGTAGGTAGGGGCAACGTAAAGAATGTAAAAACCCTCCAAACTCTCAAGGTTCCCACTCTCCACTTTATGCCATAAAAAGGAAGGAAGTTGATACAGGAAATTTTTTTTGGTCAGCTTTTTATCAGAGAAAGTGCTTGCTACAGTCACAACGAGCTGGTTTTATTTCTTTTATTTACATCAGATTTTGACACTTGAGGTAAACCAAGTCAAAACTATGTTCAGAGCATTACTTTTCTATGAACAAAACTTTCATCTTTATTGTGATAAATTCTGAGGATTTTACACGCTGATTATGCCAATGAAAATTCATGACCCCATAAAGTATATGTCTTATCTGGCTCTTTATAAATAGCAGTTCATGAGGCATTTTCTTAAAGCTTTTTGACTTCTATATTTCAAATTTCAGAAGTATATAATTCTGGGACTGGCAGTTAGTGTAATGGCTATATCGCTGAACTCCCAAGTAGGCGACTGCAGTTCGAGTCCCAGACCCAGGGGCTTAAACTCATGCCGGGTGCATGTGCGTGCATGCCCAAGATCCCAAGAGGAGAACAGGGAAGAAGGGATTGCAGCATGGCCATCCCCCTGGGGGGTGATTTCTCACTTTCTGTCTCTCTGTCTCTCTCTGTCTTTCTGGCAGCGCATGCACCCTATAGCAAAAATCTCTCTTATAAAAGAAAAAGAAGTTGTATATAATTCTGATTATACTATTACTTTACAAACTCAAGTGCTATTCTTAAAAATATTAATTTGAAATGATACTCTTATTGTGCATGAAATTTTGAAGAGGATCATGATTTTGCCTTCCTCACCTGTTGTGATGAGAAATCTCCAACTTGAGCTGACTGCACTAGAACTGTTATATGAGCAACAATTGCTGAAATGCTGAATTAACAACAAACATTAGAGCCAAGTCAGCAATTTCCTTTTCAGCTTATGGAATGAATTAGTCCTGGTAAACCATGATGATTTGGAGGACAAACAGCCATGGGCTCTCCAGTGATGCATGACTGGTTTAAGATGAGACAGGAAACCTCCCAGGAGCTTCCCACAAAGAGAATTGTATTCTCCTAGGTCCTGATTTTCTTTATTTTTCCATGGGAGCAGAGCTGGAGGTTGGATTCTCAGTTTTATCTAAACTAGCTCAAGAAAGTCCTTCTACAACTGAGATCATATGTAGCTTCTCTTTTTCCTCTGGGCTGGCTGCCTCCAGTGGAAGAATGGTGCTAGTTGTTGATATTAATGGGGAATGTTGGAGGTCGGCCACCTGAGGGGTAATTTCCATAAGCACTGATCTCATCTCCATGATCTCATCTCTCTGACCAGTTTTACAATATCTCATACTTGGAACTGCAGTTGTTGATGTGATGCTGGGGGCTTGGAGGCAAATGGCCCTCTTCTTGAGTTTGGTCTTCCTTTCCAAGAAGTTCCTTCTGTAGTGATGGAGGGCCCTAAATTTTTTTCTTTTCTTTTCTTTTTTTCCTTTCTTTTTCTTTTTTTTTCTTTTTTTCTTTTCTTTTCTTTTCTTTTCTTTTCTTTTTTTTTCTTTTCTTTTCTTTTCTTTTCTTTTCTTTTCTTTTCTTTTCTTTTCTTTTCTTTTCTTTTCTTTTCTTTTCTTTTCTTTTCTTTTCTTTTCTTTTCTTTTCTTTTCTTTTCTTTTCTTTTCTTTTCTTTTCTTTTCTTTTCTTTTCTTTTCTTTTCTTTTCTTTTCTTTTCTTTTCTTTTCTTTTCTTTTCTTTTCTTTTTCTTTTCCTTTTCTTCTCTTCTCTTCTCTTCTCTTCTCTTCTCTTCTCTTCTCTTCTCTTCTCTTCTCTTCTCTTCTCTTCT